AATAGTGTATTATAAAAAAACAATTTTATCTGAATTTACATTAACAAAAAAGTCGCATATATTTAGTGCATTAGAATAGAGTATTGAATGAAAATAATAGAGTGTGTGATAGAGAGAGAGAGAGAGAGAGAGAGAGAGAGAGAGAGAGTTTAGATTATATGCATTACATAATACATTATTTATGAAGCGATGCCTAACGCTGTGGTTTCATTGGGAGCGCCCATCACTTCGATATAAATTAGATATTTGTTGGGTTTATTAAAAACATCTTTGAATACTTTTATAAGTAAAAAACTATTACAATTTGTTGTTACATAACTTATGTATAAGTCTGAAAACCTTCTCATACTTGTTGTACACTTTTTTGTATATCAATACATATATAGTATTATTCTTTACTTCAATTTCTATCCCTTTCTCTATATTGTTGTTGAATAAAAATATTGAAGAGTTTTCTCACAGAAAGTAACAAAAAATTGATTCAATTTTCTTTTGGAATGTAAGCGAAAGTAAAGCATTAGTTATTATTATTATGTTTTTTTGCTGAGAATAAGAAATTATAATTTTTCATATTTAATAATAAATTAATTTTTAGCCTCAGATTAAAGAGATATGAGAAAAAAGATGTGAAAAATGTGTTATGAAAGAGAGATATTGTTATTAAACCATAGCTTACGATATAGAAGAAGAGGGATATATGGAGAATATTGAACACATGGTTATTCGATAAGATTATACGTATATTCATGTATATAGTAAGATATATATGGCAAATAATTTTCATTCATTTCTATCATGTAATATATAATTCTCATTCACTGTTCGTTACATTCATTTACGAAAGAATGAAATTATAATTTGAATATTTTGTGTCAAACAAAGGCTTTGTTTAACTATTTTTAGCATTTAATTATATTCTGCATCGGAATGGATATGAGACGCGATATCTAATAATACCGACTAAACAAAAGGCATTTAATTTATTTTCAAATATTAGTATTTAATATGTTTTTCACTCATAGGTTATATGCAAAGGATATATATTTGAAAAACAATGGGAATATTTAAAGCACACAATAATAACTTTGTTTGAGATTTCATTTAAACACTTGTCAAACATTCACGGCGTTTAACATGTGGTTTAGAAATTACAATATTTTCATTCATTTGAAAAATATGAGACTTTTTCAAATGAAAACAAGTTTAGTGTAAATTGTAGTTTAAATATAAATGCCTTTTTCAGCTGAACTTCTAGTACTATTCACAGCAAAACTGAATATTAATTGAAACAAATGTATGCTATGAATGAATTTGATGTCAAGAATATTAAACAGTATTGTTATACAAGTGAAACGATTAGCGCATATATTCTCGTTTCACAATACGATTACAATCCCATACTCTATGGCATAGTCTATGCGTTATTAATAATAATAATTGTGTGTATTGTTTGTCAAAGAGGTTGCGATCGCAATAATAGATGCCATTTAATGGGTTGTTAAGGCGATGGTAACTGTGCTCTAATCAAAACATTTAATATATTTACGTTTAAGTCTATAATTATATTCTCTCTATTTTTATGACCATTAAGTGCTTCCTTCGTAGGAAAGGCTGAACCGCTCCTACAGTTCCAGTGCTCTCTCCAAAGAAGAGTGTGGACCTCAACTACTCTTCACATTTGCACTGTAAGGATGGTATAAAAAACTTAATACATTCGCCGCTATTCTTAAGCACATGCCTCACAATCCCTGACCGCACACTCTATCACACACTCTATTATTTTCATTCAATACTCTATTCTAATGCACTAAATATATGCGACTTTTTTGTTAATGTAAATTCAGATAAAATTGTTTTTTATAATTCACTATTCAAGTTATACACAGATAGGGCCGGGAGAGAGAGAGAGAGAGAGAGAGATCTAAAAAATATATGAAATTGTGTTAACAATAAGTTTAATTCACTAATGGATGTGATATTAAAGGGTATATTCCTTATAGAGATGAGTATTTCGTGCAGAAATACAATTATAAATATATTAATCGTTTATTCAATCAAATTATATAATAAAAAAAATATATTTCAGGATATCATTGCCTTATTACTGATCTCTAATCCTGACATTAGTTTCATGTCATGTCAAACATGTTATGAAATTATTTACAATAAATCTATAATTAGTTGGCAATGAGTTTATCTGTTTTGATTGAATTGATAGCCAAAATATATGTTATAATCAAATATCAAAATCAATGTTGACTTTTAGCGAGTATTCAATCAATTTATTATTTTTTGGTTCATTTGCTATGCGTTTGTCATTAAAGTTCTCGTAAATAAAGTATGAAAAAATTGCGGAAAACAACTGAAAAATACAAAATTTTGATTTCAATTCAAATAAAACTGATAAATCACAGCATAATATGCAGCATAATATATTATATCATACGATAAGCCCCAGTATTCCCAACCCTACAGAACTATTTTTGCAGAATATAATTATTACATAACATTCTTGTGTGAGAACTGACATCAAAAATATATATACAATATATTTATTATAAATAATGGAAATAAAATTATATTTTTATTTTTGTAAATAAATTTAATGCAAGGTTTTTCTGTATAATCAGAAATTCCACATAAAAAACATATCATAATTCAAACAATGGATACTTAATTCATATGAACCGAAAGCACACATTCAACTCAACTAAATCTATGGGCGCTGTACTTGTCTTATGCCAGCGACGGGTGTAGTAGTGATTGCTTGCATTTTATGAATTTTATTATGCATTTAATCTTATGAATGAACAAAAAAGATTAAGGAAGAGAGAGAGAGAGAGAGAGGAGAGGAATGGATAGGGAAGTGATAAGAGACTTACTTTTACTNAGAGAGAGAGAGAGAGAGAGAGAGAGAGAGAGAGAGAGAGATGGTTAAGATTTTCAAGGCATAAGCCGTGTGCCAGATCGAGGGCACTGGATCAGTGGTCAGTACACCTGTATATTTGCTATACGAAACCCCAAACCTCTTTTCCCCAGATATACAATAATAGCAATAATAACTGTTTTAGAAAAAAGTGGCGTAAAATTCACATAATCTCCAAATAACTAATAAATCAAATTATATTTATTTGAAGTGCACTTTGAAAATGATTAAAATGTTAAAATCTGTTTTCGTTTTTTCTCTCTCTTTGATTCGGAATCAAAACTAATCAAAAAATTCTCACTAAAGTGTAGGAAACAATTATTTATAAATATATATGAATACACAGTATATTATTATTTAGAGAAATGCAGTTCAGAAAAAAATATATCCAACTTATAAGTAGAGATGCAAAGAGTGTTCGCATAAATACATAACCAAAATATTACATAACTCTTAAGAAAGTCCTCAAACAACAAATTTTTTCATATATTTTATTTGACTGATGTTATTGCCCTTACAGTCAACTCACGCTTACATTTATATCACGACTTCTTGGCTACGATTGCGAGAGAGAGAGAGAGAGAGAGAGAGAGAGAGAGAGAGACTTTATTTTGTTATATATTTCTTTTATCTATCGCTGAAAAATCTGAACAACAGACAAGAATTGAGAAAAATATATAATAATACCGTTTTTAAGGCACATATTATTTACAATCAATTTTCTATACACTATAATTGTTTTCCAATTCATCTTTTCATTGAAAAACTACAATCCATTCATTCCTCCACTCTTTTTGTGGTTATTTTTCATTGCATTTTATTTAGCATTTAATTATTTATTTATGATTTATATATTACTTATAATTATATATGATTTTTAATACTTTTGTGGTTAATGTGTGTTACAGGCATTCAGTACCGCGGGTTTGATCGTCCAGTTCTGGAATCCATTACACGATAACATTGTTATCTGGTTTGCAGTCATTGAAGGCATTCTTCTGCCGATCGCTCTCTACATAACTGACGACCCCTTTAGGGACGCCGTGAAGAGGAGTTTCCGTAGAAAAAACTACCGGTGCTCTGATATCAGTAAAAGTAAGTCTCTTATCACTTCCCTATCCATTCCTCTCCTCTCTCTCTCTCTCTCTCTTTAATCCCATCTAATTGTGACTCCAATTACTTAATTAATATGAACTCAAAAGCGTCCACAAAATGTAAGCTTATGTCTGTCTTTCCTTCTCTTGTTTTGTTGCTTTAAATGAACAAACTTTGAGTTCAAATGATTATATGATTGGAGTTGTTATCAAATTAAATATAATGAACATTAAAACAAAAAGTAAAACTAAACACAATTTAAACCCAAAACAAAAAGAAAAGTCAAACAATTTCCAAACTAAACACTTATATATATATTTGTATTGTCTGTTGGGGTGAAAGCAGGCACTGAGGGTCCGTTTCCGCTATACTTTAATGACTTCGCGCTAATCGATAAGCCATACGTCGGTGCCATGAGTTCAATACCGACCGCTAAACTCAATACCTCTCCGTCGCCGTTGACTGTGGTCTCAAACTATAGGCGCTCATCGATGAGGGCTAATGAGAAACACCGGCGAACCAACGCTAATGAGCCGCTAATGCGGGCCAACGCTAACGGTCTGTCCTCGTCGTCATCGCTGCGGAAATGCAAACCACCGAAAGGTAACGACAAATACATGTTTCTCAGCATTTATGGCGTCGACAAAGTCATACCAGTGACCAAACCGGGCGTACAATACAATACGGGCACCAGTAGTCACG